GTTCGAGGCGATTTTTCCCAACATATACCTATATAGTTAGTTTGATATGTTGAACTCGAGAGTATTAGTAATTACTATTGTATGCCAAACATGTCCTATACTGTCAAATATGTTCGAGAAAGTTTTCTTTTAAGGAAGGGAAAACACGAAGAAGTCGTGACAAGAACATCCGTTTGGTTGACAGAATTTGAGAGAGCAACTTTTCTATTTGTTGTAGAAGCCTTTACCTTGTAAAGAAAGAAGGGTTAGCTATATTTTGGTGGAACATAAAATCATGCATTTTGCTATATGTATGTTAAAATTCAATATTATGGTTTGGTTTCGATCTATCTTGTCTATGTTTGGTTCCATGAATAAAACAGTGACAAAAAATCAAGATTCAAAACCACACTAGGTTAACAACCTCTTTATTAGCCCTTGTTTGGTTCATATTTATAAACATTAAAATAACTTTTTATCCGTACATTTCTAGTGATCTATGAATACTATTCACTTCTTTATCAAAGGCTGTCTGGGAGCACTAATCTTGCCACAAAAATTGCTTTTTAAACCGTTGGTGGTAGCCATTCTTGACTTCTTGTTTCACATGTGGGACCCATTGGTGGAAAGAAACGGTCAATTTTTGGATTAAAATCTGCTTAATAGTGCTCTCAGACAAATCCTCACTTATTTTTATCTATTTATAATTTAAACTTGTTATAAACACTTCCCAAACATGATTGCAAAAGGAAATCTTTATAATTGGGTAATGACCAACAAAGAACAAAATGGGGAATTTACTATTAGTTTGTTTTAACGTAATCCAACATTTGTATATTTATTCAAATTCATTAGTACAAGATCATCAATACAATGTGGGGACTTCCCTAACCCAGTGTTTAACTTGTTGAGACAAAAAGCAAACTTAGTCAATCTGAGTTCTGCAATCTTAGTCAGGGTAGCAGATAGCTCCTTCAATTGCATGGATTGATGGACTGTGCATTGCATGATGATGATGATGGAGCAATTTGATTCAAGAATGGCAATGAAAGCATGGAATTAACAAAGTTGAGGACCTTCATCACAGCCACATGTTTGGCTATAAGGGGTGAAATCTGTTGAAAATAAGTTGTTCAAACTAATAA